ATCCCATCCCCCTGGAGCTGAAGGGGAGAACTCTTTACTATGTAAAGGGACTGTTTGGCCTTCTTAATAGCCCATTGACAAAGTGGGGGATGGGCAGGAATCTACAGGCAGATATTCTTTTAAAACATGTTTCTTCCTTTTTCACATCCAGAGAAATATTCTGCCTTTTCAATATTTCCTAGGATATTTCATTTTTCTGGGAGAGGGCTGGGGGATAACTTCGTACAACACATTTAAGTCTATAAATACTTTTCTGAAATACAACTGAAATTATTTCCCTCCCCGATATTCTTCCAAATTTTCTGCAATGTGATTAATCAACATAGAGAAAATAGGTTGAACTTTATGGAGTCCCCAGAGAATGGAGCTAAATACCCCAAAATTCTGGCCATACCTCTCACCCCACGAATAAAGTCCTAGGAAAACCTGAAGGAGGAAAAGTTGTGTGGGAAGTTACCATCCATCCAGCCCTCTCCCAGAAAAAATGAAATATCCTAGGAAATATTGAAAAAGGCAGAATATTTCTCTGGGTGTAAAAAAGGAAGAAACACGTTTTAAAAGAATAGCTGCCTGTAGATTCCTGCCCATCCCCCACTTTGTCAATGGGCCATTGAGAAGGGCAAGCTAGTCCCTTTACATAACAAAGACTTCTCCAATGCAAAATAACAGCCCAGTAAATCCCCACCAATCCCTACAAATACACTGCTTTTCTTGCATATCGCAGGAACAACCCTTCCCCGTTTCCACTTGGACTGAGACCTGCAAAGCCCCCGTTTCATCCACACCTGGATCGCTCCTCCTCCTCCTCCAGCTGTTTTCCCGCCCGGAAGCCGCTCCAGGGGCCGCGGGGCCAAGAACAACACTCGAGCCGAGGGGACCACGGAAGCCCCCGCTAGTGCTGCGCCGAACAACAGCGCCGAACGACCCGAGGCCGGAGGGCCGAGAAGCAACAGCGGCCGCGGGCGAGACCCAACCGGCGCGACTCCGGCTCCCACCATCTCCAACTCCAGCGACGAGGCCGCCATAGCAACGGAAGGGCCCGGCCGCATAGCAACCAATCCAAAGCCCGCATGTAGCGGAGTCGGCCGACGATTAATGGCGCCAACGTAAGCCGCAACTTCAGGAGGCACCGCGACTTCAGCCAATCAGAAACGACGGTCACCGAAAGGCGGCCAATCCACGTGCACGTTTTTAGGACATTCGGGAATGTGACGCCGGGAAAGGACGTCCTCGAGGGAAGGGCGCTGATTGGTTCTCGCGGCTTCAGCCTTTTAAAAGATTTTTTGCCTTTTTTATCGATTCATTTCCTTTGGGCGCTTGATTAGTTTCTTTTTTTTTTGTAGCGCTGCTCCAAGAACCGTTTCCGAAAATTACGGAGGAGCCTCGTGCGGGAAAGTTTGCTAACTCTTTTATAGCACGTGGCTGCCCGAGATGCTTTCCCACGTGGTCTCCAACTTTAGCAACTTTAAGACCTGTGGACTTCAACTCCCAGAGTTCCTCAGCCAGCTTGCTGGCTGAGGAACTCTGGGAGTTGAAGTCCACAGGTCTTAAAGTTGCCAAAGTTGGAGACCCACATGGGAACAGCCGATTCCCAGTGGGGGGGAAATGCAGCTGCTCCCCAGAAGCGCTTGGCCAGATAGAGAACCAGGGTTTTAAAGCAGAAACATGGACAAGACGGGCTGTGCGAGGGATCCTGGCAGAATAGTGGGGCGAAGTCCGCACTACATGCGCATGTAATGAATGGGAAGGAGACCACAGTGGTGGTAGCATTATGTGCCTCAGTACTTGTGCTACTATTAATAATACCATGGCTTTTCAGGGCATCTGGTTGGTCATGGTAAAGCAGACGTAAAGTGAGATTTGGACATTAGAGAGCCGAGGTGGCGCAGTGGTTAAATGCAGCACTGCAGGCCACTTCAGCTGACTGCTAGTTCTG